TTCTAGAGCTCAACCTCATTCTTTTTAATATAGTATTCCATTGTATGGATGCACCATAATTTATTTAGCTCTCTGCTCTAGATTGTCATGAAGCCTCCTAAGCCACAGCAAAGGCACACATAATACATGGATTTGGGTGTTTATGTGCATGTGTGTGCTTTGGGGAAGTAATATGGACTTAGTTGACAAAGGTCAGCAGCTAAGGGACTGTCGGCCACCTATTCCTCCATGGTGTCAAGCAAGGTGTTGGGATATTCCACAGCCAGCCCCCACCTTTGACTTGTTCCAGGGTTGTGGAGAGAGCTCGGCTTGCCAGCTCAGCCTGCGGTCTGCAGTGGCAGGTGTGCTTTCTCACAACACTCAGTAGCCCACCCTCATGTATTTTGTGGTTTCCCTACTTTAATCAAAGATAGTGTTTCTGTTTCTATTTTTGGTATTTTTAATTAGCTACAGAAAAAATGAGAACAGAGATGTCTTTAATATCTAAAACTAGAAGTCTTTAAGTATCAACTCTGAAATTACTTTGCATCTTTGAAGGGTCTTCAAGTTTAAAAATTGGTCTTATCTGCTTATATTTTCTTATAGATTACCATTCATCATTACTGTCTTTTAACTAAATTCTAAAGTGTTAACCATTTCTTTTTAAAAATTTTCTGAACAATTTCTTGATATAAATTAACATATTAAAAGATAGAGCTTTCCCACTCAATACTTCACAGCAAAAAACACATTGTTTTTTTTTGTATGAGAAGATTGAAACAAAAGATTTGTTTTCTGTATGTTTTTAATATTTTTCATTGATTATCACTTCCTGTTTTTTGGATGTCAGAGAACTGTTACTTGGTTTCCTTGTTAGAGCCCTGTTATTTGGCTTAAAAATACCTTACTTCATTTCTTGAAGTTAGCATTTCTCAGGTAAGGGCCAAATTAGACCCAACTTTTTCTGAGTTATATCTCAAACATCCAAATTCTTGAAATGGAAGTTTATATTCTGGTGGGTCTTGTCTTATGGTTGCCTTTTAGGGCATGTCAGAGGGTGGTGGTTTCTCTTTCAGGGTGACCCTGAGTAGTCATTTGGTTTAGCCTAGAGAAGGAGTTGGCATTTTTTTCTGTAAAGGGCCAAATGGTAAATATTTTAGGCTTTATGGGTCTTATAGTTTGTGTTGCAACTACTTAGCTCTGCAGTTGTAGTACAGAAGCAGCCATAGACAGTATGTAAATGAATTAATGTGGCTGGATTCCAGTAAAACTTTAGTTACAAAAACAGGCGATGAGGGAGACTTGGCCCATGGTCCATACTTTGGAGAGGCCAGGTCTAGATGGCCTATGTTGGAAGATTCCTTGAAAAATTGTGTGTTCTGTTTTTAGGTGCTGATGCTTATAGATGCTGGCTTTGGGTTTGAAATGGAAACATTTGAATTTCTAAACATCTGTCAAGTACATGGCTTTCCTAAAATTATGGGAGTTCTCACCCACCTAGATTCCTTCAAGCATAATAAGCAACTGAAGAAGACAAAGAAGCGATTAAAACACAGGTTCTGGACAGAAGTCTACCCGGTAGGAAGAGAAATAATGATCAGATTCTGACACTATCCTTTTAAAATAGACAGAGTGAAGACACGTTAAGAACATTATAGGATTCACCTCCTGAGTTTCCTTTGTGTATTTGTTCACAGTCCCTGGAATATTTTCCTCAAAATAGTCTTTATTCTGGGCCTCTTGGTCTATCTCATTTGTCTCTGTAACAGTGTCTGACTTTCTTTTTGAGTTGTGATTTGATAGAGTGCGACAGAAAATTCTCCTGCCTCTCCTCTCTCCCTTCCATGCTGTCAGTGCCCCTTGGTCTCAGAATTCTTTCTGTGCTCCGGAGCCTCACTGCCCCCTGTGCCATACCCAGACAGATGCCACTGCTCGACTGGAAAGTAGCTGCCCCTGTGAGGTCCTAACGGGATAGGTCCTGGAAGCAGCTCGTACAGCTCTAGAAGGATCAGGACAGTGGCTTTGCTTAGGATTGTTTCTTATTTTGGGCCTTCATTTTGGTGTAGTAGTGACAAGAATTTTATTGAACTTTAATTTTTAATTTTTTTTTCATGTTTAGGGTGCCAAGCTGTTCTACCTTTCTGGGATGGTGCATGGAGAATATCAAAACCAAGAGATTCACAATCTGGGCCGTTTTATTACAGTTATGAAGTTTAGGCCTCTCACATGGCAAACTTCTCACCCCTATATCCTGGCAGACAGGTAAAAAGTGAATGTAAACTTTTTCTTCCTGGCCTGTATATTTCAAAGCTACAAAGGTTAGAAAAAGAACAGTGATAGTGCTTATTTTGTGCTTATTTGAATAGTGGGGGAAAAATGTAGCTGATGGAAAATGTTGTCTTATATCATTACTTAAAGATACTATGCCTTCAGGAGTATTATAACGTAAATTATAAGATATTTAGAGAAATTGAAGGATTTTGAAGCATTTAAGGCTACAGGATATGGCCCTGTTGTACTTTTCAACTTTTCAACAGTTTTCAATGACACAGTCTTTGCCCTAGTGCTCTAGTCTCTTAAATGTGTCTTTGCTTCCCTTCCTTTGTGATTTTTCTCATGTTACTTTCTCAGCCTGGAATACCCTTCCTCTACCTGCCGGAATCCAAGTGTGTTAGTCCATTTTGTTGCTTATAACAAAACACCTGGAACTGGGTAATTTGTAAGAAAATGAAATTTATTGCTTACAGTTTCAGAGGCTGAGAAGTCC